CACTAAAAGTAATGATAAAATTGCTGAACTAATAAATATCTTTTAATCAAAGTTAGTGTTCTAATTACCTGGTCGATACATCCACTTAATATTAGTCAAAAGAGAAAAAGATAGTTATTTTGAAGGTCACTCATCAATTTGATGTTTGCCTAACTAACTCACTAATAGATCTTATGAGATGACTTTAATCTATGCTGTCTTCAAGGCGTTATAATCAATAGCATTAAGGCCTTCCACTATGCATCCGCATCTACTAAAACTGAAGTTAAGCAGTTAAAATTTTGTAATACACTAGAGAGTTAATTAGCATAATGAAGATAAAAAGGTTCGTTAAAAAAATACCATAATATCGCATTCAGAAGCCAGTTTAAAGAGATGCATAAATTACGGACTAGGCTCAAAATAACTTCAAGTGTCAACGGCTCAGGAGCAGCTGATAGTAACTTGTTCTCCCATATAAACACACAAGAAATACATAAACAATAAGAAATCCTCAGCTGGACACTGAGGAGACCGCCAAAGGTAGGCTTGCGCAAACAAGCTTCATTCAACCACGGTTTATCAAGTAAAGGATTTTGGCATCCTGTACACATGATTTCCCGCTAATTATCAGGCCTCAATTATTGAGTAAAGGTGCAAGTGTGACAAAATATATATCAACTCTACAAAGGCCCAACATTCCCTGTCAAACTTATTTACAGTCCATAGTCTATTAAGATGGCATACATTTGGGTATATATACACATATATATATATGCATATAGTCTCAACTAAGCCAGGCACTGCTGGCTTGAGAATATCAGCCGATTATCCAAGGGAAGTAGCCCATTGGCGTCTAAACTAAAAATTTTGCTCAAAGAATAGGACAAGGCTTTTTGATAAATCCAAATGGATGGGGTCGGATTCTACCTGCTAATGTACACGCTATTACCATCATCAGGATATGTTCTAATGTTCCGTCAGCCATGACTGTAATTTTTAAGTGAATTGGGCCTCTGGTGCCTCATCTCGATCAACCGGATCGGATGCTTCAGCCAACGATCCTTTTGAAACTGCTATTCGGGCGACTGCGGTAGCTGGCCTGAATCTTCGGTTTGTTCTTGCATTGCCTAAGAGAGCAGGAGGTGAATCTGAGTCAAGCATACTCGGTAAAATGACTATATTCCGGATCTCGTTAAATGACGATGTCTGTTTAGAGATGGAGTCTGAAATTGACTCGACTTTGGCATCCGGTTCGGTGAAATCAACCCCCAAAACCGCAGCAGGCCTTAGACGTGTGGAATGTGTAGCACTTGCCACTGCAAGACGGTCAATGCTGGTGGTCGGCCGGAGGTGCCGACGCTCGCTTCCTCTGTAGCCAGAAGTTGGCATTCGTATTGGCTCGTTGGAGCATGAAACTGACGCTTCGGTAACACGAGGTATAATCAATGGGACTGGTACAATGCACTTGGCTGTATTCGCAGCCCAGTCCGCGGTCCGAGTCTGCTGGATGTCATGCCCAATACGGTAGTCGTCTTTTAGTGACGCGATTTCGTGGGACGATCCACTTTCATGAACAGGCGTAGAGGTCGACTATCTCACGTAAAAAATAAAAGTGGAGGGACAAAATAACTACGTTTTAAAGGAATTTGATTTAATGTGTAAGACTTTTAAAAATGCACTATTATTTTTTGTAAGTTTTTTTTTAACTTTTAAGTTCACATTCTCGAATCCTATAAGCAAATCCTGACTAGAGTAAAGTAGAGCGAATGTGGCCTATATCATTTTCAATTTGTTAGGCAGTATAAAATAAGGTGGTTGCTTAGTTACACCAACCTAAGCAATTAATAATTCAAGAAAAGTTCCGGTCTTGTGGATAGTGTCTTCTTTAAAGTCCCAAGATGACTCCGACCGAGAAGAAATCATATCATAAGAGCTATCACATTCAGCATTTCCTCTAAAATCAATTCTAAGGCACAAGCTAATGCATTCGTGTGGGTTCATAAGCAAATTTAAACGCTTTTAGTAATAATAAATAAAACTAATGTTCGAGTGGTGATCATGAAACTGATTCATCCGTGCCATGCATCGCAAATGAACGTCATCCTCAAAGCTGTACTTATTTGTTTTGAAAATCATACCTGTCGTATGATTAAACGGCGCTAGCGCCATATGACCTTAGCGTTTTACCTAGAACCCTAGACAACTCGAATACCCGTGGACCATGATAAAGGAATGAAGTTGGGCTGAAAATGCTGTCTGCCCTTTTGACATGCGTAGCACAGCAAGATTATGGGAAAGCTCAGTTTATTTTGCAGTTTGTCGTGAACAGACTCCTTATCAGTGCCCCAACCACCAAAATGCAAAAGATGAAGCATAACTTCTAAAGGGAATCGGTGACAGCTTCTTTTAGCCCTGTCTCCTCGCTTAAGATTGATTTTACAACTTACTGCAGTCTCAAACAATGACTCAGGGACTGTTTGCTATAGCAAACTCTTATATACTCGGACTTCATAAAGTTTAATATATGAGACTTTAGCGAGGTTGGAAGAGTAGAGAACAATGGAACTATACTCAGATAAATGACTCAACCATAAATACTGTTTGCCAATAGAAAATGCATTTGTTGGGAGAACCAAAGATTGACTTATGGAGGGAGAACTAAGTGAGGCGCTTACTTAACGAAGTCGGGTTGTTGATGTGTATCTGTGCCAGTATCAGCAAATCAGTTTGCCTGTTATCCTGTGTGCAAGCGCATCATTTCTACTATTAAGACCACGAATAAATGAAAAGTTATTTTGGTCCAGTTTCTTACTATCACTTATCTTAATAGGCCTCCAATAATTTACCAATTCTATTTGCCGCACAAAATCCGCCAAATGCCTCTCCAATTCCAACCCTTAAAACCCACAAATTCTTGCAGCCTAGTAAGAAATATCAGATGAGCATCAAGTCCCGGAACAGCTTAAGCATGTCGTTTTTGGCAATTTTACTTTGAGATCGGTTCGTATTCTTTCTAATTAACGTAAATAAAAAGGCGTCATATGAATATTTATCCTATTAAAAATATTTAAATATCAAACTCTTGCCAAATAAACTAAATCTTATTAAGTGAACCAAAGCTGAAACACGAAAATCCCCCCCCCAAAAGGCTCCTACCAAACGTATCGGGTATCCATGATCGATCCAATGTAAAATAACTTTTCCATATAAGTAGAATTTCGAGACTACCAGTAAATCAGTTATAAGAGATGTAGTCTGAAGACTATTTATACGAAAAATAAGTAATGTAGTCGATTGCTATAGCAAAAATGCGTTTACTTCATCAATATTCCCACCAAAGAATGTAATGTGGGAAGAGGCCTGGCCTTCCTGAAATTGACATCTGCTCTATGACCTAGGGGCATTCGTGGCAATGTGGCCGAGTGCTTAACGTGTCAAGATCTCATGCTGCATTTTCATGGTTCGTCTCCCGCTAGGGGTGTTGATAAAACTTATGCGAGGTCGAAACTGCAGTCTTTCCTGTATGATAACAGGGCTACGTGAAATTCAATGGAAATGTCAGCTCTACTCATATCATTGTAGGAAAAATCAACTACCAGTTCTTCATCACCTTAAAAGAAATACGATGAATACATCTCATACAATAATTTTAAATGAAGATTGACTATATTTCAATCTAATAAAAAATAGTGTTTGATTTATGAGAAAAAAAATTGTATAAACTTCAGCATGCCTCATTTCGAATGTACAGAGTTAGCGTTATTCTCAGACCTACAAGGAAACACGTTGCTGACGCAGCATCAATCGTTTCTTTATTCTGAATATGCACATCACATCAACGCATCCTGAGTCTAAATGTTCTTGTTAATAATATTTTTGTGTATAAGGTTGATTGACATGTTTATTTGAGGTATTTGGTGTCTGGTAAAGTCAGTTATATTCACACACAAAATATTCTGCAGCACTTTTTCCAGTCTTGTAGAATATTCTTTTTATTTGTTAAAAACTAGCAAGTCTAGTTAGCATTTTATCGTTTAATATAACTTATTTTTTGCAAAATACGCCCTTTTGGGTATGCCCTAGGGATTTTAGATAATACAGAGATTTTTATACGCTAAATTTCTGTCAGCAAGACTTTAGCCTCCAGATATACGTTCATTACGTTACCCAGATGTACAAGAGAATCAAACCATTTTTTTAGTAAAGGAATGATGTCAAAGTATGGATGATGGTAGCGTTCAAAACCCTGTGAGAATACAAATTTATCGATAAAAAGATACTCCCATGTTTAAATGCCTATCACTTGCTAAATGAAGGATTATATCATGAAGTTACTATAGTCAACAAAGAATCTGCAGATCTGAGTGTTAGATTATTTCCTTAGGTAATGACAATATACTTAGTTCGGACATTAAGTACTCCAATAAACTTAGAAGCCTTCACCGCGCATGTAATTTGGCCGCGGCAACTGGGAGATTAAAAGTTATCCCGATTCGGAAAGATTGCTCTGAAACCCTTAAAAATGGCATAACATTCAAAAAATATGAATAGGACCAAACTGCGTGTGCTTTTCGTCTGGCGAGGCAGTTCTATATTCCAGCTACCTCTTCAAGGAATCTTTGGTCTGTTCTCTTAGGTGTTTGAATCTCTGACCATCGTCTAATATAGGTGTTTACGCACTTAGAGATCTCACAGTGACCTATCTCTACATCCTCATGGGATGTGAACGTGGATTACTTAATAATTGACTATATGGTAAAAATTAAATTTTTACATAACGAGTGCGTTTTGCAAAGTACCGCCTGTAAGTACACTTCAAAAAGAAAGACTATGTCGAAGTATTCCAAATCCACTTTACAGGGGTACACTGCTTGTGATTACTACACTTACTTCAAAGGTATCTAGCTTTATTTATCGATGCCCGATTTCCAACAATAATTTACCTTGTATGGGGATTGCATACATTCACGGAGTATAGTAGGCTGTGGCGATTTGATGGTTGCTGATTTCACGAGTAGCTGACGGATGATCAAGGGTGAAGGTAATGCTGAAAAGGAAGAGCAAAAAATCCTTTTCAAACATTTTTGGGCAGCAATTTAAAACATAATTGGTTGCTGTGTAGAAAAAAACAGATTTTCGAATAATCCCTTAAAAGATTGATATTAGAGTACCTTTAGTTTTGTTTGAAATAACAGTGGTAGGGATTCGTAAGTTGGCCTTATCCCAAGTTGTATGTGGATTGCCTTGGAGTTGTGAATGCAGATTTGTGCGAACATGTATTCGACTCACCGTCTTAAGAACGTGATGAATACTTGTTGAGCCTTCGTCGATCATGTGACGTACAACGTCAAAGCAAGGCAACATGCTTTGCGATATTTCACCAAGTACAAAGACAAGAAATATGGCTGGCCGTAATCCTAACTACTTTGTATAGCCTAGCTATGTCCAATTAGTGAGGCACCTCGTGATTTGTTTGAAGATCCTATGCTTTTCTTACATACTCTTAAAGAGTTAAGTGACTGCAATTGAAGTGGGAAATGGATGCAATTGTGACGAAACAGCTGCATCCTCTTCTAAAGCACATATTTTTTAAAGATATGAAGACCAAAATGTTGTGACCTTTGGTATGGTCGCAGTTTTCTTTCGATTTATAGAAGTGGGTTGACCTCGTTGTCGCAACTTTGTCTTGTTGTCAGGACGACTTAGTAGAATGCACCTAGTCCGAAGTCGTCTGCCATAGTAGTTGTCGTGAGAAGTTGTAATAAGAGGGTAAAGAGTAGATAAATAGGCCAGGATAGGAAGAGGAGTGATAGTGTAACCGTTTTCGGCAGAACGTTTATCGAGGGATTGACTTCAATTGTCTCTTTTGACGAGTTTGTAGCTTGGTGCGGAGAATGGCAAAACTCACTGATGATGCCGACCACGAGGCCGGCGAAACGTCTGAGAATGTAACAAGTCCACGATATGATGCTGGGAATTATGATAACTACTATGGCAGACGACTTCGGATAAGGTAAGTTCTACTAATTCGGCCTGACAGCAAGACCAAGTTGCGACAATGAGGTTAACCTACTTCTATAAATCGAAATGAGACTGCGACCATAACGGATGCCGCACCATCTTGGTCTTCATATCTTGATTAAGTTCTCCCATTGACAACAAATACCTTTATTTAAATCTGTCTTGGGAACAACTACAATGATTGACGATAAAGCAGGACAATTAACTATATATATATATATATATATATATTAGTTAAACTGTGCTACACTGAAAATATTATGCCAAAAATATAATTATATTACAGTATACTATACATATATTATTTTATGGCTATCTATG